GTCTTCACAGTTCACACTGTGTGCAGCCCCAGAGCTGAGCAGCCATGCTGTCTTCACAGTTCACACTGTGTCCTCTCAGAGCTGAACAGCCATGCTGTCTTCACAGTTCACACTGTATTCTTCCTTGTGCTAGAGAATTTCACCAAAGAACAAACTGAGGCTGAGGGAAGTGACCTGTCCATGCCACACACCTAACACCTGGTGAAGTTGGTGTCCTCACCAGGATGGCCATGTGTCCAATATAGTCCTCCACTTCTCTGACTGAAACTTCTTGTCGGTGACTTTAGAGAACACGAGAAGGTTCATGTCTGTTATCCGCTTTGTAGCATCTGTACTTGTCTCTTGGCTCTCCTGGGCCACACTTCATTGGGTTATACAATACTTCATTGATTGTTGCTTGCTGTATACATGTCACTGTTCTTAACTTTGCATTTACCAAATTTTCTGTGTATATATGTTGTTTACATTTTCTAAACAAAGTTAAGGTATACTCACTGTTTTTTCTAGTCCCCCTTTCCTGAATGAAACCTACTCCACATGAAAACATCCCTCCTGTGCAGACTAAAGTCTTTTTTTTTTTCTTTCTGTATTCCTGTGCTGTTAATGCAATCAAGATAATCACTACAGATGTCCAGAGGCCTGGTACTTCTCTGTTCTTTCAAGTGGGCAGTAAACAGTAATCATCATCATCATCAACACACACACACACACACACACACACACACACACACACACACACACACAGAGTGAACATATATGTATGTGTGTGTGGTGTAGACACATATGTGTGTGAAGACTTGCATGCCTATGTGTGCCTGGGGGAGCACAGGAGCGCTTTATATAGCCTTCTGTTCCTCTTGGCACATTATTCCATTGAGACAGGTTCTCTCCTGGAGGTTGGAGCTAAATTGTGACTAGGAAGCCCTGGCATTCCTCCTGTCGCCCCCTCCTCAGCCCTGAGTTATAGACACATACAGTCGTGCCTAGTTTTACACGTGGGTCTTGAGTACTTGAACTCAGGTCTTAATGCTTTTAGCAACTGCTCTTACCCACTGAACCATCTTTCTAGCTCCCGCTATATACAATTAACAGGGGACTATGCCTGACTCAGTTTGTTGAGGGAATTCATGACATTATATTAGTTGTAAGATACATATTTTTTAATACGGAGAATATGGACATTAGCATCCATGCAGGGATAAAGCAATAAGTAGACCCTAAAAATAACAAGAGCTTCTGTAAGTTGACTTCAGCATTAACATAATCTCCAGGTTTCAATATTTGTTTGCTCTTTTTTTTTTTTTTGGTTTTTCGAGACAGGGTTTCTCTGTGTAGCTTTGCGCCTTTCCTGGAACTCACTTGGTAGCCCAGGCTGGCCTCGAACTCACAGAGATCCACCTGCCTCTGCCTCCCGAGTGCTGGGATTAAAGGCGTGCGCCACCACCGCCCGGCAAATGCTCTTTTCTTATATGTTGGCTAAGCTGTATGAATACTTCTACTTAAAGTGAGCAGATGGGACTGGTCCAGTTTGTTTTCCAAGTGGGTGATATTATGGACTATTGGTCAGCTCAAGAACTGGCTGTCTCTAGTCGGTCTTTACCCAGTTAGATATACAAGGGGACGGCACCAATATAACAACACCATAGTGTATCAGATACCATGTATATCATGGTGAATTCACAGGAATGCGGCACCTGAAAAGTACAAGACTATGCAGATGGAGGGGAGCGATGGCATCTGGTATCCAGAATTATACATGCAGCTGTCATACAGTCAGTGATTCTCAGTAACTGGCTTAGGTGAAAAGCTTGGATTTATTTGCCTCATCAGCTCTGCTGGTAAAAGAATATCATCTAATGACACATTTAACTCAGACATATTATTTCACAAGCAGAAGTCATTAAGGTTTCTGTTGTGGTGGTAGCCATATAACTTTATTAGACCACACACCACCCACGCTACACCGTAAAATTATATGATTTGTCTTGTCATTCTGTTTTAAATGTTCAGGCTGCTCCAGACTGCTCCGAAACAGCTTTAATTCACATAGCTGATATTTTGGCAAGAATTGCTTCTGTAGAAGAAGGACTTATTTTACTTCTTTATGGAGAAAATATGAACTCTTCCGAAGAAGAAAGGTACGTGGACATTTTAGTCTGTGTAACTATTCAGGGGTAGTTAGGTTTCCCAAGCAGGTACTAATGACACGTTAAGCCACCTTTGATATCATCTTTAAAAAATATTTATTTATTGTTTTTATGTGTATGTGTGTATGCCTGCATGAGTTTATGTGTACCTTGTGCATGCAGGCACCCCTGGAGGGTAGAAGAGGGTGTTGAATGCCCTGAAAGTGGAGTTACTAATCATAATAGTTACCCATGGTAATTACTAAGATTATTATATAATCTTAGCTCATAATAAGGGTAGCGGGCATCATTCCAGATGCGAACCCATACCTTCTTACCCGCACCCCAAGACCGTCTCACAGACTACTGAAGCCACAGGTAGTTGGTTTCAGTCAAACAGATTCAGAGGAGAAGCCACACCCCCTCCCCTCCTCTTCTGTCACCCAGGTCTGTCTCCTCCTGTGCCAATGGTAGCCTTGTGGTACTGAAGCTTCTTGGCTTTCTCTGGGCTTCTGATGGTGCGGTACCTGGGCAAACCTGTCTCTCCCTGCTGAGCCATCTCTCCAGCCCCGACATTAATTAGTTTTTAAGTGCCAAGCAGCCTTACTCAGGGAGTAAATCACACCTGGTTGTGAATATTCCTCTTCCCCATTGTGGCTTGGAGTTTCTCGTGGATACAGGTGACCTTTGCCATGCTGACACACAATCTCGGCCGCCGAACCTAGAATATCTTTGTTTTTTGATATTACTATAAACCTGGTTTCATAAGCTAGAAATGATACTCCTGTTTCCGTCTTCTGAAAGGAATGATAGAGAACTGTTATAACGTCTATAAATATCTGGTAGAATTCATCTGTGAGACAATGAGTGCCTGGCTTTCTTTAGTTCTTTTAATTACTTAATTTCTTTATTAGATGAATAGGCCTGTTCAGAGTTACTTCCTTTGGTTATAAAATTTAACAAGTTGTGTCTTTCAGAGAAATGGTGCCATTATTTATTTTTGGTTTAGAATTGCCAGTAATGTGCTCTGGCTATCTTGTTAGTACTGGGGGACCAGTAGGGAAAAATCTCTGCTCTCATTCTGGTACTAGTCATTTTTACTTATTATTATTGTTGTTGTTATTATTTATTTATTTATTATTATTATAGTGCTAACTTGAAACTTAACAATTTTGTGGGTTTTTTTTTTTTCCAGAAAATCGATTCTGGATCTTGTGATTGTGTGTGCATATGTGCATGTGTGTGTGTGGTGTGTGTGCACATATATGTGTTCCCAGGCATACACATGGTATGATACATGTGGGGGTATCAAAGGACAACATTGTGGAGTTTGTTTTGTTCTTATACGTTGATATAGGTTCCAGGGGATAAAACTCAGGTTATTGCAAGTGTTTTTTTTTTTAACCTGCTGAGGAATCTTGCTGGCCTTAGTGTGTGTGTGTGTGTTTAAAGAAAAACATCTTATTCCTGTTGGAGACAAGTAAATTTGTTCAGCTCTGTGGATAATGAAGTTGTCATCTCATACTTTCTTATTTCCCTCCAGTTTCTCTTTATTTGTTGCTTTGGTTTCTTTTATTACTCCTTAGAAGTTTCAAAAAACCGTTGATAACTGTTACAAGGGCAGTTGTCATTTGTGGTCTTTATATTGTGTCGAAAATGCCATGGCATTTCGCTGGGAGAGCCATAATGCAGCCTCTTGCAGTTACCTGCCTGAAAAAAACACAGCCTCTCAGCAGGAGACCAGGTGGAAGCCGAGCTGGATCTCAAGCATCAGTGTGTTCATTTGATTTATCTTCCCTCGTGTGTGTGTGTGTGTGTGTGTGTGTGTGTGTGTGTGTGTGTGTGTGTGTGTCTGTCCTGCTCTTTCTCTCTCTTCCTTTTTTTCCCCCCAAGACAGGGTTTCTTTGTGTATCTTTGACTGTCCTAGAACTCACTCTGTAGACCAGGCTGGCCTGAGAGATCCGCCTGCCTCGTCTCCTGGGTGCTGAGATTAGAGGCCTGTGCCACCTCTACCAGGCCCTCCTGTATTTCTTGATCTCTGTGTCTTCCAAGGAGTACCTGGGCTAGCTGCATGCAATTGTAAGTGCAATCTGGAGGATAAAACTTTCTTAAATTTACTTTCAGTCCTGGTTCTTGTTCCCCATTGCAGAGATAGTTAAGTCATCAGTTAATGTGGGATTTTGTTTGTTTGTTTTTTTGATGTTCTAGAAGTCCAATCACATGATTTCTGGCTTTTGAGCTATGACTTGTGACAGCTAGTCTAGGTTCTGGTTTACTTGGCTCTTCTGTATTCCAGGTTCCAAAATTTTCCCACTATCTTTTCCATTTTCTTTGTCCTTGAAGACCTTTATGCATTTAAAAATATTTTATTTGTGCATGTTAGTCTTTATGGAGAGAACAGATAGATGTTATGAATTCAGTTTAGCATTTTAAACTGGAGATATTGAGTACATAATGATTATAATTATTTTTAATTAGGGAGATTTATCTTTTGTCATGAATTCTAAGATCACCTTATCTATTACTTAATCCTTTGGAAATTTAATTTTTCATAGATAAGACTTTACTAATAACACAAGCCAGCCTTGAATTATGACTTCCCCTCAACTAGTCAGTTATAACTATGTAAATTCATTAACTTGCATGGACTTTGAGTCTGGTTAATTTTGGTGTGTGATGTTTTTATTTACTTGCAAGTTTTTGTAACAAAGTTTATAAAATTAAAAATATAAAGTTACTTATTAGGAAAACTTAAAAAAATGAATGCTAGTATGTCTGGCACTAATACAAAAACTAGTAAATTTTTCTGTTTCTGTATGAATATTGTTAATTTGGATGAAATCAAGATATTGCCATTCACTTATGATGTGTATGAGGTTTTGTTTTTAAAGAAAGGTTCTCTCACACTGAAGTTAAACAAGATGTAAACTACCAGAAGTGACTTCCGAACCATTGTGTAAAGTTCATACTGATTGTTTCTTTAGTAGAAAGACTGGAATATTTGCAAATGCAATTAACAAGAGTCTGGCTCGTTAAATTTTATTTTTCACAATGGAGGAGTGAGCAGGTAGCAAGCTGTAAAAAGGAATTAGAAGGCCAGAAAGTGGTTTAGCAGGGAAACATGCCCCCTGCCAAGCCTGATGACCTGTGTTTGATTCCCAGGGCTCACATGGCAGAACCAGAGGGCTGATTCCTGCAACTGTCCTGTGTGATCTCCAGGTGTCCTGTGACTCTGTTACACATGCATGCGCGCACACACGCACGCACAGAATTAGGAATATTTTTATGGACTGCTTATGGCGTTAGCTTTATAAAATATTAAAAAAGAGAAAGCAGTGACGTATGTTAATAGAATGCTGCCTTTTATGGAACAGGACAGTATGGGTCATCCATTTGCTGATCACTTAGGAGCGAACTATTAATGACAGACTGAAAGGCAATGAAAGCAGTTAGTTCTAGGGAACAGAAGAGAAGGTCAGAAGCATATATGGAGAAACGATCAATACATTGGTCATCCTTAGATTTTACTTTACAATTAGGTAGCTGCTTTATGCAGGTAACCTCATCGCCATTGAACTTGGAGTGAGGTATGATGTAAGGGAAATGATCTTCAATGTCAGGTGCATTTGGTACGTGTAGAAGCAGTATTGGTGCTATTTCCAATGATGTTATGTTGCCAGGGAGGAAAAAACAAAAGAACCAAACTTTAAACCTCTGGGTCTAATTATTATCTTGTAGAACATTTGGGGAAATAGGAAATGGGGTTGAAGATACCATAGAAAAAAATAGTGACTATATTCTATATAAATATATACTTATGTATTTACATATAGTTAATATATATAAATGACTAGAGTCATTCAAATATAAAATTATTGAATCACTGACCTGGAGAAAAAGTACACAGGGAGTTTAAATCACGAACACAACCCATAGGACTTGTATGAAATGTAATTTACACAAACCTATCTCGATACAATGGCATATTTAAGAAAATAAAGAGAAGTTCGATGTGGGCTGTCTTACTAACAATGATAATCTGTATGTGGGTATATTACATTTAAAGTGGAAATGTCATTATTTAGAGGTGCACACTGGGTTACATATGCAAGGCAAGGATGGCAAAATGTTCATAATGCTGCTGGAGAAAGGAGACTTGAGTGTTCTTGAAGTCTAATGCTTATTGCTTCTGGTTTGGTTCTGTGTTTTAAAAATCTAGAAAAGGTGTTAATGCTGTTTTCCCCTGGAGTTAGACAGACAAGATAATTGTTTCTTTCTCAATATTAGCTATGTGACATTGTGCAATTTACTTCCGCAGTCTTACATTCAAAGGATTATAGAAAGAAACGACATAAGCACAGTAAAATACTTAAAACAGTAACTTTCACACTGGAAGCATTTTTGTCTGTGCTGTTATTATTTCCAGCAAGACAGTCTCGAACTTTGAGATGGGGTGGCTGTGTTGTTATTGTGACGGGGAAGGTAGCAACAGCTCAAACAATGAGACATGTTTACTGGAAAATCAAGAGCACTCATGTATGACCCTGGCTGCATGGCATCTGTGTCTCCTAAGTGTGTGTAGATTTGGCTGTTTCCTCCATCTGAGTACCCTTTCCCGTGTGCCACTGAAACCTTTCTCATGACTGGCACATTCACATTGGAGGATCAGGCATATTTTCTTATTTGTGAAAGCTATGAGCTATCTAAGAAAACTAGCAAATGAGCTGTGTGGAGACAGGCTGTTTGGCTGGTGCTGCATGCAGCCAGGCCCGCTTGGCATTGGAATCACATCTGTGATCTCTTCTTAGTCCTACAGGTGCGCATATCATAGCCAAGTTTTCAAAGAAACTTCTTGATGAAGATATTTCTATTTTTTCTGGATCGGAAATGTTGCCTTTAGTTAAAGGAGCTTTTATTTCTGTGTGTCGTCAAATATATAGCACATGTGAAGGCTTACAGGTGTTGCTTCCGTATGGTTTACACGAATCCATAGCAAAGGCATGGAAGAAGGTACGTATTTTAACCCTTTCCTCCCTGCAGGTCTTTTTTTCAGTTACAGGCGTCACTGTAACACCTTTTTATGGACAGGATTTTGTTTTTGCTTTTGCTTTTGTGTTTGTTTTGTTCAAGACAGGGTTTCTCTGTGTAGCCTTTGCTCTCCTGGAACTCACTCAGTAGACCAGACTGGCCTTGAACTCAGAGATCCGCTTGCCTCTGCCTTCTGAGTGCTGGGATTAAAGGTGTATGCCACTACTGCCTGGCATGGACAGGATATTTTAATGGGACATGTATCTCTCTTTTTTCTTTTGTGTTTTTTCCTCTCTTTCTCCCTCCCTTCCTCCCTCCCTCCCTTTCTTTTTGGAAACAGGGCCTTACTCTTTATCTTTGGCTGGTCTGGAACTTACAGAGCCTCTGCCACCTGAGTGCCAGGCTATGTAGCACTTCTTTGGCATTGTGGTGGTAGTTGGTATTAGCTATCTATGCTTCTTAACTTGAAAAAGGATGACTTCAGACCCTTCTCTTTTAGTAGAGCTAGACTCTAAGCCTTTAACTGATTACCACAATGTTTTTCTTTTTTGTCTTTTTTTTTTTTTTTTATTTATTGTGGTAGCAGAAGCTTTAGCTGAGTTCTCCTTGCATAGACTCACCTTCTGTGGAGGTTATGATATCAAGAACATAATAGAGCAGGAGCCATGTATAGACAAGGGGATCGCTCAGTCTTTTAATTTCATTGAATCAGATGATTTAATTTTGAAAGCAACTGTGTTAAGCATAAGAGATCTTGTGAATAGTGTTGTCAGTTAGAAATGCAGAGAAACAAACAAGTCTGTTTTCTTCTTCTTCCTTTTTTTAGACAAGCTTGCTATCGGAAAGGATTCCCACTCCAGTAGAGGGCTCTGACTCAGTTTCCTCAGTGAGCCAGGAGTCTCCCAACATGTAAGTATAATTGTTTAACATCTCTCTGTTGTGTTTGCTGAAATAATTTGGAAATAATTGAAATTCATGGAAAACTATGGCAAACATTTTCCAGGAAGCTAAACTATATGCATACAGGTTTAAGGAAAATTATACTTACTATTATTTGTAGAATATGTGATACTTGTAGCCATTAACAAATATAGAAATATTAAATATATTTTGCTTAATTATGTATTTATATTTTGTGTTAGGAAGCTTGGTGTATTGTAAAGTTTTCAGAAAAATTGGAGAATGATCAAATACTAAAATTGGCAAATTAATTTGCATGGTTAGTAGAAGTAAAATGTTTTCAAATGCTGGTGAAATCCATTTTACTTGTTTTTCAAAATATGGTAAGAGTGCAGTTTAATTATGGTTTGGCATTTGAAAATTATGTAACTTAATATTTCAGTATATATATTTATACTTTTTAATAAACATGAATCTATGTGATGGCAGGTTACCCGGGAAAATACTTGATTAAACTAAGGTTTCATGATCTACATGTTCCAGGTTTTTATTTTGGTTTCATGGTTGAGTGTTGGCACAGTATGAAACATAGTAGAACAGCTCTAAGGGTTGTTCTTTGTTAAATGTTGAATTTGAATTCCCTTTCTTTCATAGGTTGGAGCTTAACTTACAAAATCAGTTTGTTTGGTTTTTTTTTAATTTAGGAAAAGTTTAAAGGTGCAAAATAATTCATTCTCTGGAAATTTCATGTGTATTTTTTCTAACATGGTTATCAAACCTACCAACTGCTGTTTTTTTCCCCCATTTTTCCATTGAGTAAGGGTGGAAAAATTAGACAAGTTTTGTCCACTCATAGTCTACAACCGTAGACTTTGCTCAAAGGCACACTGCACTGCATAGGAAGTAGAGCAGAATACCTGTTGGCTACAGGGGGAGGCAGTCTATGGAGGGAGTATCCTGGATAGGAGGTACTGCTTGTGCAAGAGTGCCCTAAGTTCCTCCTTCTTTCTTTCAGAGGATGGGACAGGTTAATAGATGGAGAGAGGCAATGTTCCATTTGAGTATGTGCTCTACAGGAAAACAACGCCAGGGATAAAGATGTTTCCTAACCCCTGATATTATTGCTTGTGTTAGTTAGGGCTTTCTAGATAGAGCAGTAGGCTAGATTCGTGTATCAACATACGAGCAAGGAGAGAGTTTACTAAGGGAATTAGCTCACACTGTTTTAGAGGACGGGATGTTTGAAAAGTAGATTCTTAGGTGGATGGTGGTGGTGCACGCCTTTCATCCCAGCTCTTGGGAGGTAGAGGCAGGAGGATCTGTGAGTTTGAGGCCAGCCTGGTTTACAGAGTGAGTTCCAGGACATCCAGAGCTTTTACACAGAGAAACTGTCTTGAAAAACTGAGGGGGTTGTTGATAATGTTGCTCAGTTCAAGCCTTGACAGTCACTCTCCTATTGGGAGATTTGGGCTGCTAAGGCTGGGAAGCTTGTGATTTTGGTTCCAATGGCAGAAGAATGTTCTTGGGCTCCTGGGGAGAGGTTAGTCTCTCTTTGCTGTCATCCCTCTTTCTGGGCCCCTATCCAATTCATGGCGCCTTCTCTACACTGAAGACAGACCATCTCCACTTGGCCTGCTGAGGTTTACACACTACTCTCTGAAGACACCCTCACAGACACACCCACAGATGATGCTCTCCAAGTTTGCTGGCTCTTCTTCCAATATAGTCAGATTGACCTGTAAATGACTCATTGGTGTCTCAAGAGAAGCCAGAGGGTTAATAAGATTCCCAGTAGAGTTGGTCTGTGAATTTCATTATTAATCATTCAGTTTACCTTCTAGAAACACTTGAGCATCTTTTGTTCTTTTGTTTTATTGAGCTAGTTTGTGTGAGATAGGTGCTGTTTTTTCCCCTTGATTCTCTGGTAAAATTTGGAGCTGTTAACTGGTCTTGGGTCAGTATATAGAAGGTACCTGATTTATTTCTTTTTTAAATAAATTTATTTATTTATTTTACACCCCAGCTTTAGTTTCCTCTCCGTCCTCAATCCCCCAGTACCCTCTTACCCCAGTCCCCTCTGTTCCTAACCCCCAATCCACTCCTCCATTTCTGTTTAGGAAAGGGCAGGTCCCCCATGAATTTTAACAACACACAATATATAAAGTTGCAGTAAGACTAAGCACCTCTCCATGTAATAAGGCTGGGCAAAGTGACCCAGTATGAGGAATAGGGTCCCAAAAGCCAGTAAAAGAGTCAGAGATGGTCTGTTACGAGTCCCACAGAGGACCAAGCTACACAACTGTAGCATATATGCGGAGTGTATATATGCAGGCAGGCTTCCTGGTTATCGGTTCAGTCTCTGTGAGTCCCTCTGAACCCTGGTTAGTGGATTTTGTGAGTTTTCATGTGGTGTCCTTGACCCATCTGGTTCCTACAGTACTTTTCTCCCTCTTCTGCAGGATTCTCCAAGCTGGGCCTACTGTTTAGCTGTGGGTCTGCATCTGTGTCCATCAGTTGCTGGATGAAGCGTCTCTGATGACAATTGGGCTAGGCACGAATCTATGAGTATAGCAGAATATTACATTAGGAATCATTACATTGACATTTTTTTCCTCCAGTCATGTTTGGTTCTCTTAGGTCTCTGGTTCATCCAGCCTGCAGGTCTCAGTGTTCCAGGCTGTGTCAGGGTGGGCTTATACTCCTGGCATGGGTTTTAGGCTACACCAGTCATTGGTTGGCCACTCCCTCAGTTTCCAGGCCACCCTTACCCCAGCACATCCCACAGTCAGGACAGACAGTAGGTTGAAGGTTATGTGGCTGGGTTGGTTTCCCACTCCCTCCACTTGAAGTCTTGCCTAATCACAGGAGATGGCCAGTTCAGGCTATATATCTGCTATTGCCAGGAGTCCTAGCTGGCGCCATCCTTGTAGGTTCCTGGGAGATTCCTTGGGCCAGGTTTGACCTGACCTTGAAATGCCCACCTTGCCAGTAATCTCTTCCCCACCTCCTCCCATCTCTCATGTTCCCATTTTGACCTGCTTGCCTGCAGTCTGCTCATGAAATCTCTTCTGTTTCCTCTTCTGAGGGAGTTCCTTTCATTCCCCCAACCCCTGCCCCCCTTGAGTCCTCCTTGTTACCTAGCCTTTCTGGGTCTGTAGATTGTAGCATAGTTATCCTTTACTTTACAGCTAATATCTACTTATGAGTGAGTACATACCATGTTTGTCTTTCTGGGTCTGGGTTCTTACTCAGTATGATTTTTTTTCTATTTCCATCCATTAGCCTTCAAATTTCCTGATGTCAATATTTTTAACACCTGAGGAGTACTCCATTTGTAAATGTATTACATTTTCTTTATCCAATCCTTGGTTGAGGGACACCATTAGTGAATGGGTCTTTCTCTAGTCCAAGTTACTGAAAGTGAGAGTTAGCTTAATTAGAAAACAGTAAAATAATAGCAATCTGTAAAAACTAATTAATCAATTTTTTTGCCTTGAAGTTAAGCATTTTGCGCTTACATTTTTATTTAGTTATTTATTTTTACTTTTTGTTAACATAGGATCCTGCTCCAGCTTCCCATTTAATGGTGCCTATAATACCAGAGAATGGAGAAGCTGATGCATAATACTGGTGGGCTATTCATGTCCTTCCAATCTAGATATTGCCTCAAAACACCAAATAAAAATTCTAATAGTCTTATCTAAGTCTATGCACACTATGTGAAGTTATCATTGTGTGACTTTGGAAAAAATATAATCACAGGAAAAAGAGAAGATGTCAACTTTGCCCCAACTAGCCATCAAAGGAACCTCTGCAAAATTGGAGGCTCAGATTATAGAGGGATTCTTGGATCTGCAAAGCGCAGCCCATGATACCATGGAATTAATCATCAGAGTCTGTATTTCCATTGGAAATACCTTGCTACTTATTTTCGTCAGTGTTCTATTGCTATGAAGAGATGCAGTGACCATGGCAACTGTTACAAAAGAAAGCATTTAACTGGGTGTTGCTCACAGTTTCTGAGGTTTAGCCCATTCTCGTGGTGGGAAGCATGACGGGACACAGGCAGACATGGTGCTGGAGAAGTAGCTAGGAGTTCTACATCCAGATACACAGGCAGCCGGAAGAGAGAGACTCTGAGAATGGCTTGGGCTTTTGAAATCACGAAGCCACCTCCAGTGACACACTTTATCCAGTAAAGCCAGACCTACTCCAACAGGCCACACCTCCCAAATCCTCTCAAGTAGAGCCACTCTTTGATGAACAAGCATTCAAACCTATGAGCCTATGGGGGCCATTTGTATTCAAACCACCACACTACTGCAGGCTCACCCCATTTGCCGTTGCCCCTCTCCTAAGGGAAAGGACAATAAAACTCAGTGGCTCAGATCTTCTGTCCCTCTTACTAAAATTCAAAGGGCAGCCGGTGGCGGTGGCGCATGCCTTTAATCCCAACAGAGGCAGGCGGATCTCTGTGAGTTCGAGGCCAGCCTGGTCTACAGAGCGAGATCCAGGAAAGGCGCAAAGCTACACAGAGAGACCCTGTCTCAAAAAACAAAAACAACAAAAAAAAAAACAAAAACAAACAAACAAAAAATTCAAAGGGCAGTTACATAGTTCCAGAGAAGAATTATTAAAGCATGTCAACACTTATTTCCATAATTAATTATACTCTTTTATATCACAAAGTAGTGCCACTTGTATGGCTGTTTCCTGTTTTCATTTGTGAGGAATATAGAAGCCTTTTTTTTTTTTTATTGATTTTTATCTTCTTCAATGACTTAGATCTCATAAGAATATTCCTTTTTGAGTGACTTGGTTTAAATTTTCTAAAAGTTATTTTAATGATTAGCATATATTAATTGTATATAATTGTGGCTTTTAATTATGGCATTTTCATGAATGTATATAATATTTTTCTATAATATTCACCTTCTCTTGTTCTTTTTCCACTCCATTCCTGCTAATCCCCTTCCTGTCCCCAAGTAACCTTCCCTT